GCTGATGAAAATGATGAACTCCTCATAGTCTTCATCTTCTTGGATGCTGGTGTCTTCATGCCCTCATCTTCACTCTTCTCACCACCACCCCTCAGCTGCCTCACACTGCTCATCCAACCTTCTCATTGCTTCCCCTGCAGGCTCATGCTACCAACCATTCTGATTGATTACCAATGCTCTCCCAAAGCAACAGTTTTCCTAGAATTTCCAAAAAAAAAACTCTCTGGAAAATTCTTTTATTTTCCCTTATTAAAACTCTATCAAAATCTTCAATTTGAGAAGCTCAGAAAGGCTACCCCCCATACACCCCCTACCCCCCTCTAATAGTGGGGTACCCCCCCCCCTATTAGTCAACCACATCCTCTGGCCTCCATCTTGGCTTCATTCCCTTTCATTCTGCATTCCCCATCTTTCTTTTCCAAATCTTCCCAATCAAAAAATGGATTGGTGGCATCACTCACCAAATGGTTTCCCAATAGTCTCATCAAATGGACTGCCATGGTTTCCCCATTCAGTTTCCTTCCCATCCAAAGCTTCCCAATCAAAGAACTGATTGGACTCTTCCTCATACACCAACAAGTGCCCATCAAATGGAACACCACTCTCATCATACACATCCAAGTGCTCATCAAAAGGAGCACCACTCTCATCATACTCCACATTGCCACTCATGCTCTCACCAAGCACCTCATACCTATTCATGGTCGCAATAGCAAATGTAGACATCTTGCCCAATGCCAGGGATGCAATATACCTATGAGGCTTCTTGAACCCAAGCTCTCCATACATTCATAGATTAACTAGCTAATATATAGATATATGTGTTCAAAATCCATGCTCATACATACTGCACACAAGCCAATGCACCCAATGTCTCCTTGGAAAAAGCACATCTATATATATACACAAATATGACAATACTTTAGTAGGATGCTTCTCATGGACACATGGATCCCATCAAACCAATCTCCTGGTGTCACCAATCTCTACCCATCCCCACCAATCCACTCATTTCTTTTTTGCTGTTGGGAATGAAATACCCAATCAGTTCTCATTCCAGCTCACCTCATTGAAAAAGAATCAACATATATAAATATCATAGTTCTCATGCACCAAAAATACTTCTCATGAACCCTAATTGCTCATGAACATCTGAACACCAATCAGCCCATCAATCCATTGCAGCGCTCATGGCTGCAATCCTGAGATGGGCCCATGGATGTTGAGGCATTGAGCTCATCCAAAAATGTTGCTCATCTTCAAATGGAGCCATCTGGCTGAGCCATGATTGGCAAATACACAAATAGCCTCATTGCAAATAGACAAACAACCTCATGCCTAATTAATCATAGAGGTGATGGACTGATGCAGTCAGTTATATGTGATTCACCCATTCATGGTATAAGCGCACCTACCTCATTCTAGCATACCAATCTCATTCCTCAGCCAAAAGCCCATAGGCTCATCACCTGGCTGATCCAGGTGATCCCTTATCTTTAAGGGTGGCCATCTTCTGGACCATGTTCTCATAGAGCATCATGAACTCATCTTTCTTATACATCTTGCTCCTGAGATGGCACATAGCTCCATAATGTAATGAAACCTAATGACCAAATGGAATCTATTGAACCTTTTAAAAAGATCAATGGAATCTATTGAACCTTTTAAACAGATCACATCTCATTGAAAGTCTCATGATCTTCCCCAGTAGTTACTCACCATTACTCAAAACCATGAATGATATAAAAGTAATCTATGGCAATAGAAAAATAGTTCTAACCATACCAAGTCTCATCACCTTTTCCATGTCGTCATGGCTCACATGCCCCATGCTGCCATAAGCGAGCTGCATCCAATAGACCCATCCTCAGCACAACAACTCTAATACCACCTAGTGAGGTATTGACAAAATAACTACTTATGTCTAACCTAATGAGCCTTATCTATGCACAGCCAGGATGCCACACTCATTGTTCTCATCCCAGAATGCCTCCCATGCCTCATCATCTGGGACCAATGGCTTGAATAGGCCAGTCCTGAGATGTGATATAACTAATTTTCAATTACCACTACCAATACATTCATCAAGAAGACATAAAAATATTGCTGCCTCATCCAAGTTGCAGGAATGCTGCCTTGACATTGCTCATATACTCATCCAGCAAAATGTTGATGTCACTGATCTGCCCATCATTGAATGCTGAATATATCGCACCCCAGATCAAAACCCAATAAAAACTAATTATACAATTCAAATAGAATACACTCATCAGCAAAGTTGCCTCCAATCCATCTGAGGTGCATTTCTTCACATCCTTGCATCTGGTCATCTGTACCAATGTGCTCATGATGCTCATCATTGCCAATGTGCAAATTGGCCTCCATAGGGATTTGGCCTCAATCCAATTGATCAAATAGTTCATTAAAGAACACATAGTTCATTCACACATAGTTCAACCAATAGAAAAACATTATAATTTAACCAATCATTTTCATGCCAGTAACCTCATCCTTCTCATAGAGCATCCACTGCTGGATCAATTCCAATCTTTGCTCCATAGTGCATGTCTTCTCATCATCCCAATCTCAGCTGACCAAATGATCAAGTACATCTAACAGCCATGGCTTCAGCTAATTACTTGCATCTCATCTGTAATAAAAATCAATGACAAATCAAATAGGCAATCCAAAAACCAATGGCAAATCAAATAAGCAATAAAAATCATACCCAGGATCAGGCCAAGAATCTGACAAGCACCCATCCCCTCAGATCTTGGAATCGCTGTTCCAGATGCCTGACCCTGTCCTAAGATGAACCCACTCTATAAATAGAACTCTATATATACATGTCTCTACAGATATATACATATACAAAAACAAAAAGTATTGATGTATTCATGTAAGAGTTTTTTTTGATGAGCCCACCTTGCCCATCCATTCTGCGCTCAATAGAACCCATGTTGCCACACATGGCACCCATGTGCCCACTGATGGTCTCCACCCATGTCCTGCCCAGGGCAAACAAATCCAAGCTCAAACACTAATACTACTATTGATGGCTAATTCATTAATCAATGAACTTATATATTTCCTCATACCCCCAGCTCCTCATGCTCATAGCCAAATACACCAGCAGCCCACTCAGTCCAATGAGGACTGATGCCAGCACAATCATGATGATCTCATGCATGAGCTGATAGTAGCTGATGATGCTGATTGCTGATAAGCTGATGAGCCAATCTAACAGCAAAACTCATCCAACAACAGCCTTGCAATCACCTCATTGGCAAACCTTATCACTGCTCATGTGGGTTCCCATGCAAACCTCATCATTTCACATCCTATCTCAAAAGCTCCCTTGGAAAAACAACCCATGGATCAATCTAACATGAACACTCATCCAAAAGTTCTCATGTCATGTGGGTTCCCATGCAAACCTCATCAGTTCAACTACCCCATAGTTAAGTCTCATTGGAAAAACATCCCATGGATCCAACCCTACCCTTGCCCATCAGCATTGTTTTTTCAAAAACATTTATGCTTATCACCCCACATTCTCTATGGAACGAGGGGGGTCCCTCATGTTGTGAAACTGGGTTCCTCATGCCCATGCTGGATCATTCTTAGGCTCATAGTATGCCATGCTGCCAGCATTGGTGAATCCACATCCTATCCCATAGGCTCCATTGGACCAATCCTGCTCATCCCCAATGGTCTCACCCAATGGCTCTTCAGGCCTATAGTCCATATCCCCCCACCTGGGGAATCTCTCCAAAGAACCTGATGGAACCCATGGAATGATCCAACCATAGATACACCAATGATCTGATGCTGCAGGGTGATCACCATCATGCCCCAAACTCATAAAGAATCTCTTCTTCATCCCATCATTCTTGTTCACATACACATACATGTAGTCATGCTGTGACAATCCCAGCATACCCTCAATGATCACCCATACATTGCCCAGCGCATGGCTTCTCATGATACCACCCAGGCTCAACAGCTCATTGGTCATCTCCTCTGCTGAGTGCACCATGGCTCAATACCTCACCAATACCCACCCAAACTAATAGCTTGTGCCAAAATATGCCCATGAATCATGGAACCAATGGTGTGCTCAGCAGGGTCTGATGTCCCCATCATCCCTTTCATTCCAATTCTTCCAAATACTAATTCCCATTCACCCCAACCCTTCCAAATACTAATTCCCTTTCATTTCAATTCTTCCAAATACTAATTCCCTTTCCTTCCAATTCTTCCAAATACTAATTCACTTTCATTACAATTCTTCCAAATACTAATTCCCTTTCATCTCAATTCTTCCAAATACCAATTCCCTTTCATTCCAATTTTCCAATGCATGCTCCAGTCTCATCTCCTCCTCCTCCATATTGGAAGGCCCATCTCCCTATACTCATTGGCAATGTGCCAATCTCTGTCAGATTGGGTGTCATAGGCCATCAAATCATACCAATCCTCAACCGGCCACCAATCTGCCCATCCAGAATAGGCATTCACTCTCACCACATAGAGCCTCCATTGCCCATTCCTCCACCAAGCCCTAATATGCTTTGATCCAGTTGGCATGGCTCTGATCTCTCAGATCTCTCATCAAATTTGTGCCAATAAGCTCTCATGGATCTCATGATGAAAGGGAATTAGTATTTGGGCTCTCATGGATCTCATCATTCCATCTCATCTCATCTCCTCCTCCTGTCATCATCAGGTCATCCCCACTATTAGGGTGATGTGATCTCCAAAACCTCCAATCCCAGACCTTGTTGACCTTGTTGACCTTCTAGGGGGGGGGGCCCGTTGATTAATCCGACGTCGACATTACTGGTGGCTCCTAGCAGCTCCTAGCATCAAGCTCCTCACAAATCACCTGTGCACTGAAACTTAGCAATGAAACCATCGAACTGCAATGAAGCACCAAGTTAAACATCCTAGGGGATCCCACCGAACGATGAACGTCCAAATACGCGCAAAGTCCCAGCCTGGCAGAAGGCATGCCCCTGATCTGCATGGTCTGCATCGTCATGATATGGGCGACAAGGGAGGCTACTTTCCAACCAAACAGCTGCGCACACAGCACACAGCACACTACCACACAATCCCTTCCAAATACGTCAACACATCCATTCCAAACATATGCATCATTCTTGAGGAGTTGCAGCCTGACTAGTATGATGGGATAGCATCACGAATCAGCTCCAGGTCACTTGACTGTGAAGCCAGAATTGCATAAATAAAGCGTCTCTGTACTCTGCAATATTTTGTCTTTGGTTGCGCTGCAATTGTTGTGAGTCTTTCATCCCATATCCATTGACTCCATCTCACGAAAGACCTTGTCCTACCCTGTCTAAGATAGCCAGTTTCTTGGATAAGCTTGGGATCAAATGCGCATATTGCTTTTGAAATTTGGCGGTGCACCTTCTGGCAGTCCGTGAATCCAAAGCGGTCTCTCCGGATGTTCTTTTTCCGTGAATGCACTGTCTCGGTCGGCACGGCCAAGGAGGGGATGGCTTCGACCCAAAATCCACAAATTCGATGCATGCCACCAAAGAAGAAGAAGAAGAACAAGGTTCATCAAGTTTCATGTATTAGATCTCAATGAGGGTATAAGTTGCCAGGATCTTGCAAAGAACAAGCAAGATAAGCAAGTTATCTTTAGGTGGGCTTGCATTGCAACCAGTTTTAGGCACAATATATGCCATGAGGCTGGCCCATCATTTACGGTGTTCTGCATCAATCTGTTTAGGAGTTGCATAAATCTGACGCTCTCTTGGTCTTTTTGTGGGCCAGCCCGGACCAGGGAACATAAACCCGAGACTGTTGCTCGGATGCAGTGAATTGCTGCTATCATGCAAGGAAAATATCAAACCTCAACTGAAATCTCAGTACTTTCGTCGGAGCCCACATCAGAGACGCATCCCCTCTGTGTCAAGAACCTGAGGCATCTTCGACAGGAAACTTAGGCTCAATAATCAGGCATCGCTGTCTTCTTGGCTGAACATTTGCCAATTTGAATTCCGTGTGTCTTTGGATTTTCTACATGTTGTCTCATGATGTCTAATTCGTCCAAAGGTCCTTTTTGGGCGGGCTGTTTCATCCAAGACCTTGAGCACATCATCGTATCCACCCCAACGCCGATGTTTCCGTTGGGCATACTCCTCCGGAGTGTAGCCCCGATATTTCAGGTCGCTGCGAGCGCCCAAGAGCAACAGTGCCTCAAGCGAGACGCCAAGGTCGATCCAGTCGCCATGTTTGGAACACTGGGATGATTGGGATGTTCAGTTTGGGACAAGTTAGGCCTAGTCTGGTGTATGAGAATGATAATCCAACAAAGAGTTGGGGTACACAAAAATTCGCAAATGCTCCCTTCGACCGATACGGCTCAGCTGGCGCAGCTGCTCATCACCTGTTTGCTCCCCAGGCCTTGATGACCGCTGCATTCTTCTGGTGCACGGCGACATGCAATGGATAGCCTGAGTCTTGACTTTCTATGATCTGCGCGGTTCCAGGTCCCTTCTTCAGACATTTTAACACAATTGACGAAGCACCATGTTCATTAGATGTGCGATGTGAGCAGGCATTTTGGGTGGGTGGGTTGTGGGAACACGAACTCGGACAGGAGTTTCTCAGGAAGAAACTTGATCTGGAGTTTTCTCACGTGAGACCCTTATGTTTCAGCACCTGAAAGAATCGTGCCAGGCAAGGCCTGCTTTCTGCCCAATACTTTACACGCGGCCCTCCCAGCTTGAATGCTCACGCGTGCAGTCTAGCTGCAGGTGTGTCCCCAGTAGCGTTTCCCTTCATTCACATGCAGGAAGTCGTTTGCCTGCAAGAAGGATCTCACCAATGCCTTCCGCTGATCGAGGCGAGACATTGAGCATATGGTCTTGGTGCTGGATCTGCTTTGTCTGCTGGCCCTTGTCGACAGTGACTCGGTCATGTGGTTGGGAAGAGAATGACTGCTAACTCCGGTAGAGACAGACTCGTCGCCATGTCCTTCACATACAAGTCCAATGCTGGGCAACGCTGTACCACTCTTAGTTCAACAAATTCTTAACAAACCATCACATCACCAAAAAACATATTATATAACTTCCCTCATGCGAGCTCTGTCCTGAATCAGGTGATCGATCTGCTGCTTTTGGCCTGGTATGCTGCGATATGCTGCGATGACGACCTGATGTTGAACACATTTACGGTACGATAGTGTGGTACTTACGTAGCACTGCCCACTGGAAAAGGCCAATAGGTGATCCACGTGCTAAACAATGGTTCCTCAAGAAACTGTCATACTGATACCTAATTATCTATCATCCAGCCATCTGTCATATCTAATCTAAAAATATATCATTGAAACCAACTAAAGCAATCTATCCTATTGATCCATGATCATTCGGTATAATAATGTATGAAGAAAAACATTGTATCTGAATCTAATTCTGCATCTATCTCGCTGGCTTCTTTTCAATGTGAATGGTTTTCAGGGAGGGCTAGTTTAGAGCAGTGGCAGTTCCTCAAATCGCATGAGCTCTCTCCCATCTCCAGCCTTAGAAGATCCATGCCACCCGCCGAAGACTTAAAACAACAAGGTTGAAGGGCAAAATTGGGATCTGAGCCAAAGTAAAACCATGACGTGACAGCTTAGCGATCTTACTTGCCCCTGATGGTGTGCTGGCTTCACCGCATGCAGTAGCTTGCCTTGATGATCACTCTCTCAAGCTGATTTTTCTCGTCTCAATCTGAGAGGAGGCTGCAATTCAAGCAAAGCTACTGCGTGGTGCCTTCGGCCCTCTAAAACCAAGGAAAACAATAGCAAGCTGAAGAACATATGGCCGGGTGCACCATCGACTTTCTTCTTCCAAAGAAGAAGAGTTCTATGGCTGTGCAATTTTTTAAAGTTATTCTTAATGAATTCACACGGTGCCCTCTTGGAATCACCACTGTACAATCTGAAGAACTTTACTATCCGAATTTCTCCAGCAAACGCGATCCGCCGGCAGGATGCAAACCTATCGACGAGGTGCTCGGTCTGCAGGGGCTCTTGGCTTGACTTGAGGCTGCCTGGAACTATGCCTCAAATAGCATCCGCACCATGTTGTGGTAACAGTGGGGATTCTCACGTTGCACTGTCGAGTCTCTTGCTCGCCCAGTGGCAATTTCACAAAACTTTGAAGCTTGGATCAACAAGCAAGGCCACGAACGGTGAAAAAACACCTGCGAAACCCGTGTTGAACATGTATGATAATGAACGATACTATGCACCTCACTGGTGCACGCAACACTCCTCTTGATCCAACCTCATTCCAGGCAGTTCACCCTGAAGCTGAAGAGGAGACCGCTGGGGCCGATGACGTCGAGAAGGATGAGGCCACAGGAACAGACTGCTGGCTTCGGAGCTTGTCCTCTTGCTTCGTAGGGACGCTTCAACAAATCAACACCCTATTCGCTCCGTCTGTCAGGATTGCTGGATAAGCCCTGGATTGTCTCTGACGAAAGCTCCAAACTGCACCCTCGCGTTGCTTCCGCCTTTGATTTGGGACACTGACTTTACTTGTTGGTCATGTCAGCAACAAACATACAAATCCCGTGTCCTCTTCGAAAACCTTCACAATATCCTCATATCCACCCCACCGGCGCTGGCAGCGTACGGCCAGCTCCTTAGAAAGAACATGTTGGCCAGCTTCCGCAGAATTCTCTCCAGGATCCTGCAACAAATGCCTTGTCTCGCCCAAAAATGCCCTAAATACCAAATAGCACGCTTTTATTTTTGGGCTTGGACACCCCAACAACTTGTTGCATTGTTGTGCTTTCGCTACAAGATGTCGGGATCACAAGGAAGGCTAAATGAGAGGGTCAGCAAAAATTGCTTTGTGCATCTCTGGGTTTTGTTATGGTATGTTATGGTTAGTTATCGTACTGGCCCACCATTCCACAAAACTTCCACGAATAGCCCCGGGTTCCGTGAATGCCCAGGGCCTTCCATGAAGTTAGTAGAATAGGTGTTTGCGTGTTTTTGCAACACCCTTTCTGTGCACTACAGTACCCAGCTTTTCAGCTTGTGGTAGGAGTGCTGCGTCTTCGACAACAATTCTTTGTTTGACATGGCGAGGCTCTTCTGGGGTTTCGCCACGTCGAGATTTGGCATCGCGCCAAGCTCCAAGAAGGAGTAGTGCCCTCACAACTGCTGCCTTCTTCTGGCGCACTGCCACATGTAGTGGATAGCCTCAGGTCCGTGTGACATGGCGATAACTGGCGATAGGTAGAGCTGTCGGAAAGCTCAACAAGAATGCACGTCTTGGTATTTTCTAATAACATGATAATGATGTATAATGTGTTTCTTGCATGAATTTGTAGTAATTTATATACCCGGTCTGAGTGCCCTTGGGCGACCATTTTGCAACACCCAAACCTGGCAATGCTCTATATAATGTGTTCCTGTCGGCTTGTTCTGAGTGTGTTCCTGCTGCAGGCAAAACGCTGGTGCAAAACCAAGAGGTCTTTGCCTCATTGATGTGCATGAACCCGTTCGCATCCAAGAAGTTCATCACCATCATCTTTCGCCTTTGGCCAGGCCCATGCAAGAAAAGAACATGAAAAATCACAAACACATAAAAACCAAAAACTCTCTGCTGCTCCAATGTCTAACCATGAGAGGCAAAGTAAGTGCTGATGTACTGGTGCAAGTCTGCCGGCTGGGACTTGTCTTCATAAAGTATAGTAACTAGTTTCTTAAGGAATGATGGAAGGACTCCACATCAACTACCCCGCAACCGTATCTACTGTGATTTGGTGGTGCAACATTTACTGTAATGGTTCAGTTAGACACTTGTGAAGCAATGCCAACACTGCAGGACTGGGGCGCTGCAAACCTGAGGAATCCTGCACAACCAATGGCAGCAGTGCGTACCAAGTTGCTGATTCTCGCGTAATGCAATGCTTTTCCCGTGAGATAGGCTCGTTCCAGTGCTTGCCTTAGGCCATGATCTATCTTATGACATATATGTATGTATGTGTTGGCAAGCTTTGAAACAACAAATTGTGCACTGGCTGCGTGCTGGAATCGTACCACAGCACATCAGCCCAGGTACTCTAGTAGATGCGAAGGAATCTGCTCGGGAAATCACGGGATCTGAGAAGGTGCCTAAGTCGAGCTGGCAGTCAATCACGGTCGATAATCTGAGTTGGTCACCCCAAACCTTTCGTTTTGCCCGACCCTGCATCAAAAGCAATGACACCACACTATCAAGGTTCTAGATGGGCTTTTTTACACATCATTACACAAATCACGGAGACTTGGCTTCTGTTGCCAAAGATTGGCACTTGGGCGAAGCCTCCCAGAGAGTGCCATTCCCTGATGCAAACCTCTCTCCCCCAGCCCAGCCTCCAGGGGGATTTGAGCTTAGATCCTTGGATTTGGCAAGTGCAACGAGAAGTGTCTTCGGCTGTCTGTTTTCTGGCTAGAACTGATCAGACTATGGCCGGCAGCTTGCCATGTCATCTTGGCCATTTGTTTCTCTTGAACCTAAGCCAGACCGCCATCTGCATGTTCCTTCACCTTTTCCAACAGTCTTGCGACATCATTTCTGAATATTTATGATTATATACCATGTTCAATCCTGTTCATCTCTTTCAGAACGCCAGCCCGTTTTGAGACTTGGTGGATTCAACATCTTCAGCAGGAGTCGAGGAGATGCACATCGGCAAAATGCATGGAAGGCGGCGGCCTCTGAAGTGTTCGGCCACGGCCATTGGGGCTACAAACCCTGAATGACTTCAAATGACACATGGAGCCACAATTCCAAACTGGCAAAAACAGACTCCTCGAGTGCTCAACATCCAACACCAAGGATACCTTGGATTCTGTAGCGATGACACATGAGCATTTTCTCACGGCTTCTCGCCTAAGCGCCGGGAGCTGCTTCGAGCGTTCCAAGCTCTGGTTGCGTGCTGCAGAGCGGGTGCTCCAATTGGAGAACATCGAGACGCCAACGATGAACCGCTCTGCGACAATGAGCCGAGATGTGCCGACTGAGGCGCAGCATGGCAGCGAATATCCAGTCATCATCTCAACGGGTGGAGTGAACAAAACAGGAATTGGCAATTCTGCAACCACTAGCTAGTGAGGCATGGTACATCATGGTACGGCTATTCAGGTGGTACCTGGTACCTCCAACATGACTTGGGGGGAGTGAAGTTGAAGCAACCGGCCTTCGTAGCAGCCTCAAGATCTTCCAAGCCTGAGATGAATCGGAGCAATGCCAAAGGCGGACTCAAAATTATGTCATGATTTCGAACTGGCATGATGGGACGCTTACAGTATATAAATGACTGGCTGGATTGCCAATACAAACCGCCGCCACCCTGCCATGCCCTCCTGTCTCGGCAAGAAACGCCTCTCCAGGTCTCGCCGAGCTTCTACCTGAACACAGGGCACTGGAATCAACTTGGTTTGCACTGTCTTCAGTTTTTTTTAGGCAGTCCTGTCTTTTGTGCTGGTTGCTTGCAACATCAAAAACAACATGGCACAACGACTGGCTTGAATGCTCAACACGTAGGGGGTATTCATTGAACACACCTGGACACACCACTTAATTAATGACTGCAAAATGACCAGCAGCAGTGGGATTACGCACCAGGTGCTGGTCACTTGGTCATTGTGGAAGCCTTCATGGCAAACCCCTTCATCGTTGCAACCCCTGTAGTAGCATCTGTCGTTTTCCAAAGCAGCTTCTCAGCATCTGGATGCCGAATGGAAGAGACCCAGTAAAAATATACAGTAAATCTCTTCTTGCTTAACCTAAGTAGCTCTGATTGGGGAAATGCAAGGACAACTAATGCAGAACATAATCATTAATCATGTGGTTCTTCCCCCACTTTTTGGGCCTCCTGTGCTTCCAAGGCTGCAATTGACTTGCGAGTCCTACTCAATGTGCAATTTCTTCAGCAGGAGTAGCACAAAAACATCAAGTGCGCTCGCACATCCGCTGCATGCTTGAGTCTAGCCACCAAAGGCCATCTTGAAATCTTACCTAGGACCCCATACGTGTTACTCTGTGATGCCATCCTTATCTTCTTTGTTCCCCACCTGACACCCCCAATGTAGGTCCTCTCAGCCAGTTCGCCGTGGGCTTCTAAACCTAGTGTTCGAGGAATGGAGGATGAGGCTCTGCGTGCACTCTGGAGCGCAGAGGTTTCAGCTGTGGCCGACTGATGTGGGGGCAAACCGAAGCAAACAAATATCTGACGCAGGTCTCCATCCTAACCATAGCCCTAGTTGCTATATTACTATATTACCCATAGGCTGAATACATTCTGTAGCAAGGCAGTCTGGGCATCCATGCGTGCAGTGCCCAGCTTCAGCCTAGTGGCAGCTTTTTTGCGAAACTGATGGAACTGCCGGCCCTTAAAAAATGATGGCCCAACTTAGTTGCACAAAGTAGCAATACTGAATATATACTGTACGTGGCAACTGGCTAGTGGTTGGAGATCGGCAACTGCTCCAGCAATAGAACAGCTGTTGCAAAACTAAGAACTTTGCTCCGTACGGTGTAGCTCATTATCTAACCTGAGTTGAGCGGCTGTGGCCAAGCCACAAGGGGCGTTTGGAGCTGGACATGGTACACAATCCAACATGTTGTCATGCTATAGATGTCCTATCCCACGCTGCTTGGACCAATTCTCGGCGCACACACGACAGCTGTGACCAGTTTAGTGGGTCAAACCTCTGGGCCTCTAGGTGCCAGGCTTTTCCTGAAGTTGGTCCATAGCCGACGAATGGACAGCGACCTGGCCTCAGCACAAAAATCATGGTCATGATTAAGACTTTATCTTTCTGTTGAACTTGGCTGCGTGAAATATCATCTGTCCAAAGTTTCTGTGGGCTTTGATCTAATTCAATCTCCTCAAGTACACCGGTTCCTGATCGAACATGTAATGGGCAAAAATAAATGACCGCAGTGTTCTTCTCAAAGCTGGTGCAATGCCTTTTTCAATTGCAATGCCTTGCCTTCATTCTCTAGCTGAAGGGTCTCATCATCTTACTTCAGCTTCTTCTTTCAGCTTCTTCTGGTCTCATTGGCCTCTCCCGGGTCAAGGCATTTTGCTGGGGATCAAGGCGTTGGAGCTCCACCATGGTCTCCGACATCGGCATGAGCCGAGCCTGGAGATAACATCTCAATCTCCCAGATCTCAAAGAACCAAAGGGTGAGCCATCTGGATCTGCTCAGCTTGCAGAATTGTAAATTTGAGGGCCAGCAAAGTGCCACTGACGTGTCGCAGTGACTCCAAGGTGCCAGCATCTAGAAGGCCTGGCCTAAGTGAGATGTAGTGACACCGCTCTGGAGGTCTTTCTGCTTCGTTTTGAGTGTCAATGATTAACTTTCTCCGCCCTTCCCCTTCAGCTGCTTCTGGTGAGCAATCCGAGCCGCAACACGCATGGCATTTATGGCTGCACACGTCATACCCAAGGCGGTAGTCTAATGGCACCCCTCTCCAAGCTCAGGACACGATGCGCGAGACATGTTCATCAACTTGAAGGCCCACCCAAGCACGGAGCCTTGTACTGACTTCATGCCATGTTCAAAGCTATCAGTCTCAATATTGGGTTCTGACTTCAAGCGCGAGGCTTTGCTCGGAGGCCACAGGCAGCGTACAAACAACGCCCACGCACAAGGCTACTCTCTCAAAAGGCATTCGGCGTCGGTGTCGGTATTTATTCACTTGCGGAAGTTTGGGTGTGACTCGGGGTCCAGTAATTATGCCTTAATTAGGCCGTGTTGTTTTTTGATGCGAAAGGCATATGCCACTTGATGACAATTGCAGCTAGTGCTTTTTCTCTCGCTGTGTTTGTTTTTGATAAGAGAAGGAGCGCGAATGGACTTTGAAAATGGTTGTATGGACTGTTAGACCTGGAAGCCATCGCTATTAGGTGCTACTAGGGGCTATTAGCAAAAGGAACCTACATAGCAATAGCCTCCAACATACTAGCGTCCTTGCTCCCAGTAGCGATGCCCTTTGCTCCTACTAGCTTCTTGCTTCTAGTAGTAAGGCCAGGAGCCCCTAGTAGCGTCCTTGCTCCTAGTTAGACCTAGTGATCAACTAATCGAGTTGGCTGGGCCGCCGGCTGGGCACCATATTGGCGGTGGGAGTAAGTGGCCCATTCGTCCAGCTGAGCCTCACAGAACGAGGCAATTGCCTCCTGTTTGATCCTTGAGGTGCTACAAACACATTTAGCCTGTACATATATATATATATATACAAATTAAACATTATATATTATATACACATTGCAAACATCACACATACAATCAACACATCAAATTATTCTACAAATGCCGACGCTGCCCCTGTTTGACTTGTATCTGAGAAATTCTGAGAACCTGTGTTGCAGGGTTTGACTTCAACAGGTGACTGCATACTTGAGTTTGACAAAGTCTTTCTGCTGCTGGTATTGCACCTCCACAGTGGCCCGATCGCTAGCATCATCCCTGCACTGCAATGACACGGCTTCATGGAAGCTCCCCCCTGCAGTTAACGATTCGCCTCGCCATGCTTGATCAGTTCAATACAGGTTTGATCAGTTTATAATAGTTTATATACATAATCAATCCAAATCCTCAATGCAGACCCATACATATCGCAAACAGTGTCTAATTTAATATGTGCTTTGTATCAAGGAGCTCCGGTGTCCGATCAGCAAACAAGCAGAAGCCAAAGTATTGTCTTTTTGCAGATCGATTGGCGCCCTGCTCAAAACCGAGCATGGAACCTTCCAACTGTTCTAAAGTCAAAGAGAAGCTGAACAAGTTCCGTCCCTGGTGACAGGGCTTCGGTGCAAACATTCTGGAAATGCCTCCAACTCAGTAATTAGTGCTTACGGCTTCCAATCATCACACAAACAATTCACGGAGCAGTAGACCACCTCGGAGCGCAAGCAACGGAAGGGCCTTTTCTCTAGAGGAGATCCTCTCTCCAAAAACTCCTCAGCTGGCACAGGAGGAGGTTTCCGCTCTTGGTCCTTGGGACGGTTGGCTTCTGCCATCTTTTGCAATCCTGACAGGGGAGCGGTCTCGAACCGGTCGAACCGGCACCGCAGTTGCCCAGCTCCTTGTCCAGTCTTGGAACAAAATCAACATATGTAATGCATACTGTAATGTACTACAATGCATGAAGGACAATACTAGCAATGAAGAACATCTTCAACCCGGCCCAGCACAACCATGTATGACCCAGCCCTGCCTGCCACCCATTCGTTGTGACTTGGAATAGGTCGCCACCTTGCCAGCCCTGGCTCTACCCTTGGAGGTCCCTGCCGGAAGCTTGGCAGTCCAGGCAATGGCTCTGCTTTGCCCTTTCCTGTTCGCGGCAGCGTCTTGGGATCTTTCGCTGGCGGCTGAAGTTCTCCATCTTCCCCAACCTCCAGCAATTCAGCTCCAACCACCTCCCGATTCACGTTGAAACTGAAGTTCCAATGCGTCGGCTTACGGGTTTCCTTCTGGCTTCTGGGTTTTTGCCGAGAAACGGGCCCTGTCACATCCTCCCGGAAGGACTGGTTTTGGATGCTCTCAAAGGCCTCGCTGCGCTTTTGGGCAGCAGAACTGGCCTCAAAAAGCCATGGGCTCGAGCAGCTGGAGCTCGGCGTCTGCTGGCTGCCATCGTTCACCTTCTCGGGCCTTTCTTTTTCAGGTTCAAAACATGGGACTCTTTGTGATTCTTCGGCCTCCTGGTCCATCTGAGCAAGTATCTCATCCAAGGCAGGCACAGAGCGGCGTCCATCTGACTCGCTCCTGCGTGACCGATGCGGCAAGCTGGGTTCTCCTCGTATCTGTACACCTTTCTCAAGGAGCAGCTGGGTGAAACTGCTCATCTCTGCTCCGACATGGGCTACAGCTGCAACAATGCCTGAACAGTTCGTTCCTTTTATTGCTAGCAAGGAAGGTCGAGCTCAAATCTATTTGGTTTTGTAATGGTTTGTATGGATTTGTTACATGCCTCGTTGCAGGTTCGCCCCACTGCTTTGTTTTCTGTGTAACTTCATAATGATGGCACACTCTTAGCTCGCTTGAGCACAAAAAATATATGATGTCTTGTCATCTTGTCTAATTAGGACAATGTTCACACAACATGGATGCAATATGATGCAACGGCGGCATTTCTCCGTCGTAAACCCACAACTTGACGACCACTGGTCTCTGCAAGAATCCACTCACCAATAAGGCCAGAAATACTGTGAAAAGCCACGTGGAGCCCCTCTAAGTGCAACCCGCTCAACTGCAAAACACGCCACAACACGCTGGCCCAAGTGCCTGGAATGAAAGGTCGACGGCTCCATGGTGCTCTGCTAGGCTGCTTCACTCAGTTTGAGGATTCTTCGGGTCAGGTTTGGTGGACGGGTGATCCTGAAACATTGTGTCAAAGCCGCGTAGGCGGGTAGCTTAGCAAGTGTGGAACAATGGAACAATTACCATAATTACCTTATAACTATATATACAGTACTTGAATTTATCATGCACCTTATCCTTCCACAAGTGTGCATGCAAGCTCTTACAGTCTCGGCAAGAATCGGCTGCATGCGCACTGAAACGCCTTTGCCATGTGCACTGCGGCTAAGTCACGTGTGACCATTGCACTTAAAGTTTCCTATAGGTTTACTCCGTCAGTAGTATAGGGATTGAAACATATTGAAACGAAGGTCTACTGAGTCTACCGAGTACAAGACGAGTTAACACGAGGACTGAGAGTGTTGCAATGGTGTGCGGATCTCTCATGGGCAGCATGGGTTCCCGCGGGTATGTTTTTCGACCGTACATCACCTAATTTGCGAGGTCCCTGTTCTGTGCAATACCTGAAAAGGGAGTGGCGCGTGTTTGACGAGGTGTTCCAGCATAGATGGCATAGGGACTCTCAAGAAATGCAAAAACGACAAGCCGTTCTGAATATGGGCCAGTGGAATCATGTAACCAAAGCATCAGTCTATCAAAGGCCTTGCGCAACCCATTTCGACATCAATAAGACCAACGAACCTTGCAATCCCAATAGGCCTTGTCGGTGTTTCATGCTTGTTAAATGACTGTTTGACAGTTTATGTCATTTCTGGTGCGGCTCGTGGACTCGATGGGAGCTCTCCTGGACAGCTCTCAAACACCTTAACTACCCCTGAATCTGATTCACTGTGTCATCCGCATGCATTTCCGTCATCATTGAGTTCTTTATCAAACAAGACCTATCCAGCATCAGCTCACGGCCAACTGCTCTGTTGAGTCCCATCCCTGGATTTTTTCTTCCGTCTTTTCATGACCTTCTTGGCCCTTTGGGCAGCCCCTTTGGTGAGGGCGATGCCGGTGACCCTGGAGGGGCCGGCTTCCGGAACCAAACCTGGCGGCACCAGTTCGGAGGATTGGTCGTTGAGCTACCAACTGGATGCTAAAAGCTACCAATTCAAAGCACCAAACCCGAGAGTCTATGCAATATGAGAGAGGCTATGAGTTGAACAGCGATTTTGAAGGATGATGTAGCTATGGATATCTATGGATTATATAATTCACTTGTTGCCAAAGAAAGCCGGTGTGCAGGCCCAAACCTCGTCAAGATCATCGGTTCCTATCCTGTCAGCACGGCCAAAAAGTTGAAGTTGGACCTTCTATATAATTTGCAATCATCAATGTCAGAATTCAATGCCAATGAGAACATTAGCTGCCAAGTGCTTGGTTGCCAAAAAACATCGAGGCAACATGAGGCAACTGACTTGTAATGACTCTGGACTTTCAAACCGGCTTGTGCTGGTCTGAATGCTACCTCCCTTTTGCTTACCAATTGCCTTCACGCTGGTGAAGTCCATGTTGCTTCACTCTAGTCTAGCTTTGCATGAAACGAGGGCCAATGGCGGACTGAGGTTTCCACTCCAAATCGCCCGCTTCCTGATGTCACCCAGAGATGAGGGGGGTCGGAAGACGCCATGGCTTAACAAACATGACAAACCTCATGAGCTTTGGGATTCGTGGGCTGCTGTTTCACACCGTTGCGAGATTGAGCTCTGCTTGTCTATCCTCTGATCGCTCCGATCATGGTAGCAGTTCATCAAATTGCTCCGACACCTCAATCCTCAAACCTCTCATCTCAACTCTTGATAAGATCAGCACTGATTTTCGGCGATATCCCCAGAAGCACCCTGGCCAGTTCACCCGCTTCACCACCCAAACTGGTCCGTCTCAAAACAGGAGGCCGACGACTAACTAGTTGGAATGGCCGGCATTTCATCACCCAGTCTTACCGATTGGGTTGCGGCTGAACGTCCAGCCAGGTGTACTTTATCTATTGTTGTAGCTACAACCTCAAGAGGCAAACAAACAATATAGCTATGAAAACGCCACTTGTTCACCAATCCCTAAGCTTTTCATTCTACGCCGGGCATGTGAGGGCCCCACAAAATGCGTACAATGCGCTGACTCAAGCTCTCACCAAGTGAATGCAAACTAATAGGAACTGGTAGGGTAACGCGCGCCAGCTGCACCACACGTCAGAATGACCAGTGATGCGATTAACCCGGCCAGGACCTTCACCATTGCATGCACAGTCACATCTATTCTCACTCTGCATGTGGCGTATGTTCGTGTACAGTATATACTGGTTGCTGCTCCATTTGCTGACTAAAAGCATACATTAGAAGCTCAACTCTAAATGTTGGACGGGATCCACAATAAACAATACATCCAAAGTGCCCACAATCACAAAATCTAATGTGAAGAAGGGCTTCAAAGTCTATGGACTTTCTGCAATATGCCCATAGACAAATCCTCCGGGTTCAGAATTGGCTTCGGCTTACCTGTGAAATACCGACTGGGCCCACAAAACCTCCCTCAGGGCCCCACAAAGATACGTTGGCCTTGGTAGCACGAAGGCCGTGCTGGCAGCATATTCTACGGTGCTCACACCATATTCATGTTGATCTGCGGAGTGGGATATTGAGCCATGGCTCAAGAGCAAGTGCAATGTCCCGCCGCCATCCGACGCTTGGGTCACTGGCATCAACTACAGGTAGAAAGCAGCAAGAACTTGGGATAGGACGGCTGATGTCAAGCAAAAGCCTGGTGACTGCCCGCAGGTTGAATTGAATTAGGCAGAAGAAAAACGTGTATCTGTATGTAGGATGACGGAGATGCAAGGAAGGGAACCAAGAAATCAGATCTGTCAACGCCAAGGTAAAAGCGAGAGTCACACTTGTATGTGAAGTGCTTCCTCTGGAAAGCATCAAGTGAAAGCACAGGAACATCCAAGAGAATTACACCGGTATTCCAAACACAGAACTTGAACAAGGGCAAGTGAATTAAACAACACAAAATGAAAAAATATGAAAAACACATGCATGAACAAACCATTAGGTCCTCCTGGGTCCCAGTCCTGTCAAACCAAGAGCACTCGTGGCATGAGGCATCGATCTGGTTGGTCTGATTGGTGGAGTTTCGCCCACCTGGCTGCTAGACTTTGGTGATGTTGCGTGTGAACTGCTTGTTTGTTGCAGCACTTCGGTAAAATCATTGTCCTGCCCCGTCCCTGTCTTCTCAATGAGTTCCTCTATTTCCAATGTCTCGTTCAAAGGACCCCCCTTGTTCGATCCCAATCACCACCAATGCCGTGGACCTCGAAGATCCTGATCCGCTCGGTTCATGGCCTGATCCACGACCGGCAGGATCATCCGATCAACGAGTCATCACGAGTTCATGGCGTCGAGTTCGCTCGGCGTTTGCTTCGCTCTGAACGAAGAAGCTGGTGAGAAAAAGTCCCCAAAATACAGCTCAAGACGAGCGGTGTGCGCCGAGCGTTGGCCTCGAAGAGTCTGTGCTCCGCCACTCGTTCTGCTGTAGCCTCAGCAGAAAGAAGAGTCATCTAAAATCATCTAAAGAACAAGCGGGGGTCAATATCCTTGTTTGCCGTACATACACTGTATACATATATAATCATATATATATAACTGTTCATGCACTTCCTTGAAGGTTGACTGCATTGCGCAGCCCTTTTTGTTGAGAGGGCTTGATGGCCTTGAAGACCTCCCGTGAAAGAGGAGCCCCAACCAAAGAAGCGTTGAAAGAGAGCAGCGGGTCTGCTTTGTGCATTTGGTTTGGGAACGTGTGTTTTCGGTCATGTCCGCAAAAGGGTTTCAACAGGTTATGAGCCCAAAGCAAGCTACTTCTGCACCACCCCCGAGCTCGTGCATGCTTCGCCGCCGCCGAGCGATGGAGCATGGCCCTTCGCTTGCTCTCCCTCCACCAGAAGAGGATGCTGCAAGAGCCTCTGCAGAGGAGGCTGGAAAGGTGAAGGAAAGAGAAGGGGTGGAAAAGGATGAAAAATATGAAAAGGGTTTGATGACACCCACAAGGTCTACGACAGGACCACCGGGTTCCGCAACAGGGCCCACTACGGAGATGGAAGTGTTTCGTAGTGGTGGGTCCAAGCCCAGTGCAAAAGGTTCGACTGAGCATCCAAAAGGTCGGCCGGTGACTTTGGCACCCCTGGTTCCTTTGCAGCAGCAAATGGCACCGCTGTTCACGAAGGAGCAGATGAAAGAGTCAAGAGCTGCCGCCCGTCTTGCACCTCAGGTGTTTGGAAAGGCACCGCCTCCATCGTCCTCTGAAGAGCAGTTGGAGCTCCTTCAACGACATGCATTCCTTCAAGAAGAGGAAGAAAGGTTTGGAGGAAAGAAGAAGGCCCAAGGGGGCTATGAGGAGGACGAAAGTGAAGAGCTCAGGCGATGTGAAGATGAGGATTCTGAAGAAGATCAAGGCCGCCGTCGAAGCCGCCTTCAAGAAGAGAAGGAAGAAGAGATCATGTGGCGATGGCAGATCTCACAAGATATGAAGAAGCTGACAAGCCTATGTCAGGATCAACAACGTGAAAATGATCGCCTTCAACAAGAGCTCTATGAATGGAGGTTGGAGGATGCAGAAAGGAAAAGACAAGAAGAAGATAAGAAAAAGAAAAGGAGAAAGAGGAAGGTCATGTGCCCCGAAGTTCATCGACGTTCAACACTCCTGAAGAAGCGAAGCCCGAAGCTCCCAGCGTCTTGGAAATGTTGGGGAGCAGGGGACGCACTCCATGGTCTACCTACCCAGCTAGGTATGGAAAGGGGTCGAGATCTCAATCCAAGGACCCACCTCGAAAAGGAAGAAGTCCTTCGTATGGAAAGGGGTTCAAGGAGGATCCAAGATCGACTGCCCAAAGGCCTACAATGGGGGGAGCCAAACCTTCGCCAGAGATCCAGCAAATGGAGGTCATGGGATTGCTCGTTGAAAGCATGAAGGCCCTTCAACGCCAGATTTCTGAAGGGCATGAAAGTCAAGGCACCATCAAAGGTGTTGAAGTGGTGAGACAAGTTGCAGAGCTCCCGGCTTTGGGGAGTATCCAAGGCAGCACCTCACAGCTCCAGCTTGGAGATTGGCTTCTACTTGTTCAACCGGTTGTAGCCGACCTCACTGCTACATCGGATTTGTGGTGGGAAAAGATGATGGTTGAAGTTGAACGATGGTACCAAGATCATCAAGCTATGCCACCACTAGATCGTGTTCAGCATGAGCCCAGAGCGATCTCCTGGGCTCGAGCCCGCCAGCAAAGCCACCTTCGAAGGCTGACCACCGTCTCGTGGAGGTTGCTCGGCTCATTCGGCTCTTCAAGGTTCCTCAACAACATTTGTTTTTCACTCACACCTCCAGGGCAGTAGGACAAGTGGAGGTGCGCCAAGATTGCAAACACCGACAGGCGTTTTGTTGCGACCAGTTCATCACGCTGGCCTTCAGGAATCGCTTTGAGCAGCAAGGTGGCCATCCTCCTTTCCAACTTCGACATTCAAAGAAGCTGGGCGGGGCAACAGAGCCTGATCCCTCCATCCTGGTCAAAGGCCTCAACAAGTTGACCAAGAAGACTTTGGAAGCCAATGAAGGGCTTCGGTTTCGGGTCTCGTTGGCCAGGAACTCACTTCAAGTTGACACCAATCCAACGCCGGTCTCGGTCTCCCAGTTCGCCACCCATCTCATTGCTGAGATTGACCAGCTCGCCCTCGCCGAAAAGAGAAGTGCAGGAGCAGGTGGAGGAAAGAAGGAGGACGCTAAGGTGAAGAAGTTGGATGAAGGTGGAATGAAGAAAGGAAAGAATGTTGAAGGAAAAATCAAAGAAATGGAGGTCAAGCAGCCCTGCAAGTTCTTCCTCACCGACTCGGGATGTCGCCGCGGAAAGGACTGTAGATGGTCCCATGATCTCAAAGATGATCAACGGAGATGCTACTCCTGCGGCTCCAACAAGCATCTCGCTCCGAATTGCCCCACCAAGGATCCAGCGAATCCTACATCCTCTACGTCCCCACCTAAGGTGAAGAAGGAAAAGGAGGATGAGAAGGGAAGAAAGGAGGAGGATGAGAAGAGTGCAGGAGGAACAGAAAGCGAAAAGATGGATGAGCTGTTGGAAGAAGCGAACAAGATGCTCCGGATGATGAAAGACAAAGAAACATCGGAGGCAAAGATGAACAAGCTTCACCAACAGCTGGATGAGATTAAAAGGAGCATCAAAACCCTGAAGCTCACAAAGGTCCGGGAAGCGAAAATGGGGTCTAAGAAAGAAGAAGAATGGGGCTTGCTCGATTCGGGAGCAACTCACCCTCTCAGGCCTCTCGCCCTGACCGACTGTGTTGACAGTCTGAAGAAAGTGTCAGTGTCGTTGGCTGACGGCCGGACCACGCCATTGCTGATGACGGAAGCTGGAGTGATGGTCTCCACCAATTTGGCTGTAGAGCCAATTGTGCCACTCGGCATCTTGGCGGGATGTGGGTGCAGCATTTCGTGGAAAAAGAACGGCGTGAAGGTGACTCACCCGAAGAAAGGTCTTCTTCCAATCAGCATTCAAGCTGGATGCCCACAGATTCCAAAGGTTTTGGCCCTCGAGCTCATCAAGGAGTATGAAGAAAAGGGTCACCGATGTCAAACAAGCTCGGCTTGTGGAAGAAACACATCCAAAAAGGGAGGTGGAGTGGCTGTCTTCGCTGGTTGAAGGTCACCCAACCTTGTCCATGCTGCCGGACTCCATCAAGAAGTCCCTGATCCAACAGCCGGGGGAGTGGAAAGACTTGCCTGCAAACCGGCATCAAAGAATAAAAGGACCGGATAACCCCACATGATAAGTTTTACAAATTTCAATTGTATATGAACATCACATGGGAGACGGAGTAGTGAGATGAAAAGTCAAGAACGAAGTGTTAGGAGAGAAGGTATATGAGGCGGTTGTGCTAAGACGTGTAGTATAAGTGATGATGTGATGGACGAGGATGAGAAGGAGGGGAGGGAGGAGGTGTGTGTGTGTGTGGTAAGATGGCGCGCGTGTGTGTGTGTGTGGGTGTGTGATAAAGTGTCTGATGATGTGATGAACAAGGATGAGAGGGACGAGAGAGAGAGAGAGAAGGAGGCGGAGAGAGAAGTTTGGAGGCTCTGGATTTTGCGATCAGATCCGCATGAGACCTTCAAAACGTAACACACTCGAAACGACCATCAAAGCTATCAAGTGGTCTTATCCCGACCACGGCGGGCAGTGCTAGCAGGATGTAAAGTGGAGTGAGTGAGTGGAGTGAGTGGGTGGAGTGAGTGAGTGAGTGAGTGAGTGGAGTGAGTGGAGTGAGTGAGTGGAGTGAGTGGAGTGAGTGGAGTGGAGTGAGTGGAGTGAGTGGAGTGAGTGGAGTGAGTGGAGTGA